CAATAATATTATAAGTATATTTATATTAAATCATTAATTTCAAAAATATAAATTAGTATATATTAATATATTTTAGCAAAATATAAATATATTAGATAAAATATAAATAATAAAAAAATTAATTATAAATATACTAATTAAACTTTGTTTTTTTAAAAATTATTACATTTTTTTAATAGAAGGAACTAAAGTTATATAATTATAATATTTTGAAAGTTAAAAATCTCATAACTTTAATATTTAATGAGATAAATTTGTTGAATTAAAATTTAAAACACTAAAATTATACAATTATGCTTGAAGGATAAAACTATATTTAATTTTTTTCTTTTACAAGTTTTGAAGCTTGGCAATAGACTTGAGATAGAGGGCATTAGAGATAGATTCGTAGGGAATTAATTACGATGGGAAAATATGTATTATTCATGATAGATTAAAAGAAAACAGGCAAATAAGCACCATTCACTCGGGGTTCGAATCAAGGTTTAAGCGAGGTTAGGGGTTCAAAACTACTACTGAATATAAACAAAAAAACAGATATATAAAAAATAATATATTAAAATTAAAGAAAAAATTTGGAGAAAATATTTTAATAAATAAAACAAAAATATATATTTTATGTTAATGCACAAAAATAAATTTTTTAAAAGGAAATATTTATTTTCAAAACCCCCTCCAAATATATCAAAATAAAAAGAAGAAAATGAATATTATTTATATATTATTTTTTTTTATCAAAACATATTTTTAATAATTAAAATATATGACTTTGGTTTTGACAACATCAAATTTAATATATTTCTTATTCATTATAAATCTAAAATATTAATAATAAATATATTTTGATCACACCAAAATAATATATCAAAATATATAAAAATATATCTATGAACGGACCGGTTTATCATAATTATTATGACTTTAATTTTGATAACATCAAATTTAATATATTTGTTTTAATGAATATATTTAAATATTATATTTTTTATCAAAACAAAAAAAAATTAATAATTAAAATATATGAGTTTAGTATTGATAACATCAAATTTAATATATTTATTTTAATGAAAATATTTATTATAGATTTAAAATTTTAATAATAAATATATTTTGATAACGATAAAATAATATATCAAAATAAATTTAAAAAAATAATATTTATTCACTGACCAATTGATCGTCATCATGACTTTAATTTTGATAATGCCAATTTTAACATATTTTTTTTAATGAATATATTTATTATAGATTTATAATTTTAATGATAAATATATTTTGATAACATCAAAATAATATATCAAAATGAAAGGCAGTTTTTGTTATAATAATTATAAAAATTATTTACGGGTCTTAAACGTTAATTTTGGTTTATATTTAATTATTGTTAAATATTTATCATTCTAAAATTATTTTTATTAATATTTAATATATTCATTTTATTTAATATGTTTGATAAGCTTCAATTTAATTCAACATCTTTCATTTCAATTTGAACACTGGTCATAATTAATTATTGATTTTGAAAATATCAAAGTCATGGTGTCACTAGAAAAAAAAAATCTGTAATCAATTATCAATTTTATAAATATCAAAGTTATAATATCACTATAAAAAAATTCTGTAACAATTATCGATTTTGTAAATATTAAAGCTATCATAAATTCTTATTGAATGTAACATTTATGTTATTTATTACTATTTAGTAGTTAGTAATTACTAATTACTAACAATTTTAAATATTATTACTAATAATTAACAATTATTTTTCGTTCCAAAATTATTCTTATATGAAATGTTTGGCTTAAAAACATATTAAATTGGTGTCCACAATGATAATGGAACAAAGAAAAATATGACACAATTATGAAAAGGGTGAATCAAAATAAGCTATATTTTTTTCATATATGGATTTAGTGAAACTAGAAAGACTTTTTATTTTGAGAGCTATGTATGCAACATTGTGTTTAAAAGGAAAATTTGTTTTAATAGTAACATCAAGCGGAATCATTACTTTGTTAATATCATATGGAAGAATAATACATTCTAGATTTGCAATACCTATAAATGTTAATGAAGATTCAACATGTAACAACATCAAACAAAGTAATATGTTAGCAGAATTGATTGCTAAATCTAAACTTATCATTTGAGATAAAGCTCCTATGACTCACAAATATTATTTTGAAGCAGTTGATAAAACTTTTCAAGATATTCTTTGTTTTGGTAACAATAGAAATTTGAATCTACCATTTTAAGGTAAAATTGTGGCTTTAGGAGGAGATTGTCAACAAACACTTCTGATTATTCCAAAAGGCACTAGACAAGAAATACTTCAAGTTACAATAAACTCATCTTTTGTTTGGAAATATTGTCAAGTTTTAACATCAACAACAAATATGAGACTTTTATCTAGTTGTACATATTTTGATGTTATTGAGAGAATTCGCTTTTTCAAATTGGGTTTTAGAGGTTGGAGAATGAATTGTTGGAGAAACTAGTGATAAACTTATGAATGTTGTTATTCTAAATGATTTGTTTATAAGCATGAAAGGTGACTCACTATCATAAATTGTCAACACTACCTGTCATTTGTTTTTAGAAATTTTAAATGATCAAACTTTCTTTAAAGATAAGGTTATTTTAGCTCATACAAATGTCATTGTTCACACCATCAATGAATATATGATGTCATTAATTCTTGGTGAAGAAATATTTAAGTTTGGATACTACTTTGTTTGCAAATGATTCTATTGATTCCCTAGATTTTGTGTATACTCCAAAATTTTTAAATACAATTTTTGTTGTAGGTCTTCCATGCCACATTCTATATCTGAAAGTTGGAATATCAGTGATATTATTAAGAAACATAGGCCAATCATCAGAATTGTGTAATGACACAAAGTTGGTAATTACAAAATTGTAAAAATATGTTGTAGAAGGAATAGTCATATAAGGTAGTCAAATTGGCGTTAATGTATATATATATATATATATTTATT